TTTTATATACAGTGTTGGGGGTAACGCATTACAAATAACGTGAGTTACGTAATCAGATTACTTTTTTCAAGTAACTAGTAAAGTAACGCATTACTTTTTAATTTACAAGAGTTACTTTTTCAAATACGTAACGCAAGTTACTTTTTTTCCCAATTTATTGACTGGCAGCTCTCCTGTCCCCATGCTGAGACAAATCAGAAGATGTTACTGTAGTTCTGAAATAAATATGAATATGCATTAATTCATCTCACTCACAAAAAACACACCAATTCAGTATTCCTCAAAATAAATAAAAATAATGCAACTCAGAATATGACTGTTCCATGTTCCAAATAGTTGTATCTCGGCCGAATATTCATAACAAACCATACATCAATGGAAAGATTATTTATTCAGCTTATTCATGATGCATAAATCTCAAAATTTCAAAAAATTGACCCTTACGACTGGTTTTGTGCTCCAGGGTCACATATGTTAGGATCGGACAATATTTGAAAATCTGGAATCTGAGGGTGCAAAAAAATCTAAATATTGAGAAAATCATCTTTAAAGTTGTCCAAATTAAGTTCTTAGCAATGCATATTACTAATCAAAAATTAAGTTTTGATGTATTTACGGTTGGACATTTACAAAATATCTTCATGGAACATGATCTTTACTTAATATCCTAATGATTTTTGGCATAAAGGAAAAATTTATAATTTTGACCCATGCAATGTATTGTTGGCTATTGCTACAAATATACCCCAGCGACTTAACACTGCTTTTGTGCTCCAGGGTCACATATTGCCAGGATTTGAACCTGACAGCTCAATGCTCTGCACATGTTGTATGTCTTTCTCTCTCCTAACCAGCTAATGTTCATGTGTGTTAAATCAGAGAGAGGCATAGAAAATGTGCAGCAGCGGTGTGATGCCTTTAACGTTACAGTCGGTTCTTGCTTGACATCGAAGCGATCAGCCTGTGTGATTAAACTCTCAGCCTTCACATCTGCTCGTGTTTTCCAGATGTTCCTGACTGTGTACCTCAGTAACAATGAGCAGCATTTCACAGAGGTGCCCATCACGCCCGAGACGGTGTGTGGAGACGTGCTGGAGCTGTGTAAGGAGCCGGGTGAGGCCAGCTGTCACCTGGCTGAAGTGTGGAGAGGCTCAGGTGAGAGCTCAGAGAAGAGTGGGGCATTCCTCACCCTCACCAGCCTCTGACCTGTGCCTTACAGATCAGATTTGAGCGCTTTCGCCTGGCTCCGCTTAGCGAGCCTCCACTGACTGCGCGCGCACCTTCCCAAAAGGACAAGACTTATACTTGTTGTGTTCGCCGTTGTACTATTCTTTGAAACAACAGGGGGCGACGAGGAGTAATTGTCCTCTAAAACCATCGGGAATCACCGGTCAGAAGAAGCCATTTGCCGGTACAAGATTTCTCGCGTGATGAATGAGTTGATGAATTAGTAATTTTTTATGTAGGGTGGGGCCAGGTGTCCCCTTGCTGAAGGTTGGGAGGGCCCAAGTGAGAGCTCAGAGAAGAGTGGGGCATTCCTCACACTCACCAGCCTCTGACCTGTGCCTTACAGATCAGATTTGAGCGCTTTCGCCTGGCTCCGCTTAGCGAGCCTCCACTGACTGCGCGCGCACCTTCCCAAACGGACAAGACTTATACTTGTTGCGTTCGCCGTTGTACTATTCTTTGAAACAACAGGGGGCGACGAGGAGTAATTGTCCTCTAAAACCATCGGGAATCACCGGTCAGAAGAAGCCATTTGCCGGTACAAGATTTCTCGCGTGATGAATGAGTTGATGAATTAGTAATTTTTTATGTACAAACTAATTAAAATAATCTTAAGCTTGTGTTTATTTTGCATCAAAACCAAGACAACTTTAAGCAAATAGTGTGTAATTAGTATCTAATTGAATTTTATTTCTATTTTTATACAATAAAAATAAAACGTACTTCAATTTAAAAGCCTTGGACAAACTATGCAAAAAAACCCTCTACGTTGTTTTCCCTCAAAGCGTTGAAAGTGCACCTGGTGGAGTTTGAACTTAACATCAACTGCTTCTGTTTCACACAAATGCCGGCACAGACGTGTATGTTCGGCTAGAGACGCTTTGAACTCGTGCATCTTCAGAAGCAGAGCTGCGCGGAAAGTTACACAAATGTCGTGCACACCGCCACGTGAAACGATGTTGCGCGCACTCAAAGCGAACTTCCGCCAACGTCGCGATGACGTCATAGTTGCCGCGCGTACCTAAGCGAACTTGCGGACGCGTTGAGTATAAATCAGCCTTTAGGCTATCGGGTGTTTCTGCAGTGCTGGTATCCGGGTAAACTTGCGACAGCAAGAAGCTTATGTTAAGCTATTGTTTAAGGCCATCAATTATCATGAGATATGTTTGCTGCTATGGGTCATCTGGTTATTGGTAATGCTATTTTCTTTAGGTCTGACTACTGCAACATGCCGTGCTTAAGCAAGCTACACACTGTTGCATAAGCTTCGAGAGTATTGGTAAGGGTTGTCTACTACACTAATGCGGGTTATCAGATAGAGGACATGTATGTCAGTGAACGCTAATATCATGGGAGGCGACAACCTGTATAAACATGACTTGAATTATTGAGCTATATGCCGTGTTATGAATGCTAAGCTTAGGCTAGGCAGAATCTGCGATCTCTAAACCTGTCATTGCTTGCTCTACGGCTGCAGTACGCAGTGTTTGCTACAACTGGCAACTAGGCTGCAGTCTAGTGGATTCTGCATCTTAATTTCAGGTTGCTTTAAAAAGGGGCTTGCTGCTCTTTTTAAGAGAGCAGCAAGCCTCTTAAAAAGCCTTCTTCTTAATTGGCTGCTATTAAGAAGAACACCCCTTCGCTGCCACTGTCTTCCCGAAGGGGCTTGCTGCTCTTCTTGGCTGCTATTAAGAAGAGCACCCCTTTGCCGCCACGCTCCTTCCGTAAGGCATTCAGTTATTGCTATCAGCATTTTGGTTGCGGGGTTCAGCATATGGTTGTTTTGGGGGGTATTCTGCTCTCCCTGCTCCTATCCATGCTAGGCTGCGTGGATGGGCAGGGAGTGTTTGCCCAGAACAGAACCATTCCCCCAACCTAAAATGTATGCTAATCGTAAGTTATATTGACGATAGTGGTCCTGACAGAAATGGAGCGTAGCATTAGTTCTGGCAGGCCATGCTAGTCAAGCTTGCATCAGCTGACACTCAGCTGATCCACGTCTACCTATAGAATCACGACACCAATCATAATTCCCTTCATAAGTTCCCTTCAGTCATTATTCAGCAGCTATCGCTTCGCTCAGGAACTAATCACCCACCTCCATCCCCAGCTCCTCCTCTCGTCCAGGACTTTTCAGTGAATATATCATTGAGTCAGACCACTGAATCATGTTGTTAAAATAATCACGTAGAACATTAATGGTATCTGCTACATTTATCATTGATGTTGGAACCATTCCCCCAACCTAAAATGTATGCTAATCGTAAGTTATATTGACGATAGTGGTCCTGACAAAAATATATTTTCTCTACTGTAATAAAGGCTATGAATATCCTTAATTATTATGAAAGTACCCGAGGTGGTTTTAAGAACACAGATAAACTATACATTGTCGCAGTCAAGTGTTTGTCTTAATGTTTCATCATTCAAAGCGTTTCTATCTTCTTTTAATTCAGTTACAGTGCTAGCTGGATGCAGGGCTCTAGACTCATTCTTCCCACTGGTTGCTCTGCAGTGACTAACTTTCTCAGTTGGTTGCACGAGCATGATTTGGTCACACTTTTTTTTTTGCGCTTCAACATGGGATTAATCAATGCATGCTGGTGAATAGTTCTTCTCTTATTATAGCTGATAGCTATATATGGCAACAAAGTGTTTAACACTCAGTCCATTCTTTTTCATCAGTATTATTTGTGTTTTGAATTTTGCGTACGGGAGTTCCTCTTTTGCGGCATTATAAGTCAGGCTTCGGACGCTTTCCCTTTCGAATTCGCGAACTTGGTGTTGCGTTTTACAAGTAAAGATAATTGCCTGTTGCGCTTACATCTATACATTCACTTTTTAAGGCTAAAGCAAATGCTTGAAAGATGGATTCAATGGAATTGAAAAGCACAACAACAATAAAACAGTAGGCTACAATGACAAGCTAGCTTATGTAACATTTATTAACAATCGAATAAGACAAGGCACGGCGTACACCACATGCTGTATTCTATATTGACTAATAAATTACAGAACGTTTAGCAAACACTGAGGAATCAAATAAATAAAAAAATTAAAAGAAAGACTCCATAGTCTCCATAGCAAAGATAAGAAAGAGGCTTTTCAAAGTGAAAAGTAAAACTAAACTGGCTGTCGGTGACATTGTTGCATATTCACTTTCTCTGGTTTAAGTAGCGTTCTTTTACTTTAATCCTCCGTCTGCCATCGTTTCCTCAGTATTTGCGTCATTTGTTCCGTGGCGCTTTATGGAGAACGCTTTTGAGCAACGCAGACCATGCACTCACACAAATGTGACCATGACAAATTTTAACTTGCACATTCTCAAAAAATGTTTGCAAATGCGACCATTTTGGACGCAGTCTAGAGCCTTGTGGATGCCTTTGTCCATATAAGGGATTTGCTGGAGTGTCGTCATTCTTATTACTTCTGTGATGCATGTGTAGATTTTCTGCGCGAGGGCGCCCTCTGGCTTTCAGGATGAATGAAACAGACATTACGTGTGTTCATAGCAGGAAATAATGGCCAATCCATAAAAATAATACTACTCTCAAAAGAAATTTGAAGTAAACATATGATAATCCATGTTTTTCTACAGTGTATATACGTTTTTGGAGTTTTAATTGAAGTGTACTGGAGTGAGGGTAATCAAAAATATTTTCCAAGGTTGACAGGTCTGTAACAGTCACATCTTTAAACCAATTAAGTGCATTGCTAGAGCAACATCAGACTCCAGTTTCTAGCAAAGGAAACATCTGCTGTATCACACTGGCTGTGTGAAGCTCTGGGGAAGATTGTACTGCACTAAAATCAATGATGAAGATCTGTTCCAGCAGCGGCTGTCCTGTCTCTGTTATGGCTTGTGGGAATCCTGAATCCTTACCACACTTTTGTTCCATGAATACAGTAGATAGTGCTAAATAAAGGTTCCTTTTATTAACTGGATGTTGGATGAATGCATGTGTGTTTGTGTGACTGAATGCAGAGCGGGAGATAGGCGAGAGCGAGAAGATGATGGATCTGCTGCTGCAGTGGGGGCAGGAGAGGCCTGAGGTTCGCTTCTTTCTGCGTCGAGGAAAAGCACCCAACCTGCTGACAGGTAAGCTCTTACCGTAGTGTTTACTGCTGCCCAAGTACACGGAAGGATTCGTATATTCACTTCTGTCGCAGATAGTCTTGCATATATACTTAATCCAAAAAATGTTTACCTGAACCTCTGTGATCCCAAAACTCGGCCATACACACACTCTCTCTCACACACACACACACACACACACACACACACTCTCACACACTCATACACTCTCACTCACACTCACACACACACACACACTCTCACACAAACACATACACATAGGTGAGTTAAGTCAAAATGACTTAGGAATGTATCAGTGCTTGACAAAATATGATTTAATTTTTGTATTTAACATCCTTCAATTATTTAGCAACGGTCAACAGAAATGGCTGCCAACAACCAATCAAGTTGCAGCAGCTGATAAAAATAGCTGGTTATTATGAAGATTAATTACAGGTTGTCTATGTTTTACATAATCTTACATAATGAAATAATAATGATCTTACTTGCTCTGCCTTCTGGTGGTTTTACTACCATAACAGCTAGGCTCCAACAACTTTGGACAACAATTTTGGATAATATTTTTAAAACATTGCACAACTCTATAGTAAAATGTTTATCTCAGTCATTGCTTAAAGGGGTCATGAAATGAGAAATCAGAATTTTCCTGGATCTTTTGACATAAGAGGCCATTGTGCTATAGAAACAAACTCAATAACTTATGCATGAGTCAAAAATTTTTTTTACTGAAAGCAAGCTCCCAAAACTACAAATTTTCTGCTTTAGTGTTTTTATTACGTAACAGCCTGCACAGACACGGGTCAATGCCTCGCTGTCTGTCTGGCGTCGCTCACTGGTCCGTGCTTGTGAAGGGAGAGATTCTAACACGATCACATGGAATAAAAACAGATTTATGCTGAGTTTTTCAAATTTTGTGCATTTCTTAGTTGCAAAAAACGCTATTTCTGCTGCTCCTAAAGCGCCTCCTGCTGGCAGAGAATGAATTTACACTTTCAATAAGCCCGTTTGCTGTTTTATATTTACATTATATGCATGCATATTTCCCCCAGGGGAAGCTGCCACACATAGAGTGTAAGTCTGTGGGAAACACTGCAAGTAGTTAACTAGTTAAAAAATGTAAATAGTTAATCCTTCATATAAATGGCATGAGGCATTGTGACGTTTCCTACACTTGAGCATGTGTTTGTGTTGGGTCGCATCTTTGTCCAGTGTTTGGCCCCTGATGAGTCTGAGTCTCTGGTGTCAGTAGGGCATATTTATTTATGTCACAATTAGACAAAAGCTTTGCAAACACCCTTACAGTGATGTGACCGTGGTGTTTCTTTCTCACGCTCCCCCAAACAGCTGCACTGGGACAGTGTGTGTGTGTGAGTGTGTGTGAGTGCGCGTGCATGTGTGCGCGTGTGTGTGTGTGTAATTCTGCCAAAAGGATAGACTGTTTTATGGCAGCAACAAATGCACATGTACAGCAGTCCACTGTAATATGACAGTGAATTCCACTCACTGAACTGCAGGCAAAGCTACATGCAGCTGCTTTAAGGCTCTTTTCCTATCTATTAATATTACAGTTGTGTGTTGACCAGCTCCACTAACGTGATTGCATGTGATGTGATTTTCACCTGTAGATTGAAATGCCAGCATTTTTTTACTGGTTGATTTTAGTCTCAGTCCATTTATAACCACAGGTGTCAGTTTCTTTTTGACGTGAATATGGAGATGTGTGTCTCCTGCTCATTTACCCACAGCCCTCATCACAGAATGATGAAATGATCTTGGAGGGAAAAAAACACATTAAATATGATTAAGCATGTGTAAAAACCTTCAATATGACAAAAACAGTTTATTTACAGTCATGAAGACTCTCATGAGGTTACAAAGCAATATATGCAGGACTCAATTCATGTAACATACTCTATTTTCACATCTGGCTGCATATATAGGATGTCCTTGTGTTCAAAAACAAGTAGACTTGAGGGCATGCGGCTCAAAACTCAGGGTTGGCGATGCATGTGATTGAATTTTTGATTATTTTTAACTTGACATGCCTTTTTAAAAAGTGGCGCTCATGGCAAAGGACCCATCAAACTGTTTAAAGATGGCTGTGCATGTTTACATGGACCTAATATTAAAAACTGAGCAAGGAACAACTAAAAGGGAATAGACAATATCTTTGTGTTGTGGCTGAACAGGCAGCGCTGTGGAATCGGTGGGCGGGGCTAAACACGCAGCGCTGTGGAATTGGTGGGCGGGGCTAAAACAGATGTAGAAGCAGGCGTTGATCTTCTGCGGAGGTGGTGCTTATCCACACTATTACATCATAGAGTAGAACATTCCACAGGCTGTTGTTTTGGCAGATTGCCTTCAGCATGAGCTGTTTTTAGACTAACGACTAATGAGTTCTGAAACTGACAGGATGCTTCTATGGTACAATGCTCTCTTATGTCAAATGATCAAGGGAAGTTAGGTTTCTCAGTTCGTGACCCCTTTAAAGAATTGGCTAATCATGAATCTGTTTTCCCACATCAGTTATGTGCACTGGCAGAATCCATTATCAGTCAAACCTTATGCTAACAAGTGCTCTGATTACAGTAATGCGTTACACTCATCAGTGTCTGTAAGCAGAGTTTTTAAATTGAAGTTGGCATCGTTCAGGCTTGCGCTCAGGTGTTTTCCGCAGTATCGCTGGGCTTGAGCTCGTTTGTATTTCAGACTCCAGGACCAGGAATCAGAAGAGGAACGGCGTCAAGAAGCCCGCAGACAGACAGCCGGAGAATGGAGTGAGTCTGCCTGCACTCGTGTGCCTTTCATTTCCTTGTGCAATGTAATCCCGGGGTTTGACTCACACATATGAAGGCATGAGAGGAATGCAGTCGAGTCGAACAGGAAATGGACGAGCTTGTGATGATTTCAGAGACTGATGTTGGCGTGTTGTGTTGTGCAGGTGAGCAGCCCGTGGATGGACATGACTCTAGCAGAGCTGCAGGACATGTCTGCCAGACAGCAGCATCAGATTGACACCCAGCAGCAGCTCCTGGCCTCCAAGGTACAGGATAACACATCAGAACACATCAAAAATGATGCAAATAACAACCTGTCCTCTCACTGTCCTGAGCAGGAGCAGCGCTTGCATTTCCTGAAACAACAGGAGCACAGGCAGCTGCAGACCTCCTCGCAGCAGAAGAAACTGCAGCATCTGAGGGACGCGGTGGAGAAACAGGAGGCGCAGCTGAAGATGGTGCGAGCTCTGAAGGGACAGGTGGAGCAGAAACGCCTAAGCAATGGGAAACTCGGTGAGTTCTTCTGCTTTCTTCTGCCACTCGAGTTATTTAAATCATTCATACTTATTTTTTTTCATCGACAGCTTTGATCTTGCAAATCTCTGAATCTGTTTTTATGGACATGAGCAGATACATCACCTGGTGCATACATATATTTATACACAAACATATTTATTGTGGCCTCAAATTAAGAGTTTTGTTCCCTCGTTTTATTAATTTGTTCCTTCGCTAGTGGTCACAAATTAAAAAGGAGTTCACACATGGCCACATTATACTTATTCATTCTAGGGACAATTCATTTAACTCATGATACTGATTTCACAATATGATTTTCTTAAAAAAAATTTTTTTAAAACAAATTATAAATGAAAAGGCATCCTTTTATTAATTCTCAGACAAAATGCTGCACTTTTCTTAGTGAAGTTGAAATACGTCAAGTAACAAAATTAAATAAAAAATTTTTAAAGGGCACCTATTATGCAAAATCCACTTTTACATGGTGTTGGACATAAATGTGTGTTGGCAGTGTGTGCATTTTAATCACAATACAAACAAAGAGGCTGCAGACATACAGTATGAGCAGTTTTTGATTTAGCACTAGAACTACCAAGGCAGTCATTTTGACCGTTTTAAAATTTTAAAATGTAATAACTTTGTTGAAATAAAACCCATATAACTATAATGCCCTGACTTTTCCTAAATGTGTGTATATTTTATTATAACATTGTTATTTTATTAAAATTGCAAAACACAAAAGAGTTCTGAGTATTTCTACCTTGAATAGCGGTCAAATTGAATGTTCGCATTACTGACGGCATATCATTTCTGCTTTTGCAACTTTTTCCCACGTTTGAAGATGCACGTAGGGGCATAATAGGTGCCCTTTAACAAATCCCAAATCAAATAAATAACACGATTAACAGAAATCTCTTCATATAAACAAACTAAGGCTTTGTCTGTGCACTTTCCATTTAAGATGAGAGGCAACCTCTGTATTTTAATCACAATACAAACAAAGAGGCTGCAGACATACAGTATGAGCAGTTTTTGATTTAGCACTAGAACTACCAAGGCAGTCATTTTGACCGTTTTTAAATTTTAAAATGTAATAACTTTGTTGAAATAAAACCCATATAACTATAATGCCCTGACTTTTCCTAAATGTGTGTATATTTTATTATAACATTGTTATTTTATTAAAATTGCAAAACACAAAAGAGTTCTGAGTATTTCTACCTTGAATAGCGGTCAAATTGAATGTTCGCATTACTGACGGCATATCATTTCTGCTTTTGCAACTTTTTCCCACGTTTGAAGATGCACGTCACTGTTGCCTAGCAACTTTTGATCTAGTTGTTTTTATATTCTATTGCTAAGCTAAAATTCCTGTTCGTAAAAAAGCCGGGTGGC